TATTGCGCATGCCCAGCCATCGTATGTCGCACCGCGCCCTATTCGCAGTTGTGGCTCCAGGTTGGAAGAAACCGCGTGGAGGTCAACAGATGACGTAGAACCGAGGCATGAAGAAATGTACGGAGTGATTACGCAGAATCGGTGTCTGCCATCTTCCAGGTTGGAGTCCGAAAGACTTCGCAAATGAGCTGGTTGGAGGCACTGAAGGATATGGCGACTAACCGACAGCAGTGGAGTTCTTGTCATTTCTTATCAGATCCGAATGCTTGAAATGTATGTATGCCGAGTTCGATTGTGTGCTCCGCGTTGACCACAGAGGATCTTTTTCTTTGCCTCGCTCCAGTTAGGCCCCATTCCTTTTCATCTTGTGTTTGATCACTTGATTTGTGTACATTGTGAGCGTGGCAGCGATCAGTGAAGTTTGCTTCACTGTATCTCACTGTACAATGATGATGATGTGAAATAGCCGAGGCAATACGAAGCTGATTGGCATACAACAGTGTGATTAAGTTCACACCTGCGTAGACTGAGTTTAATTTGGGTAAGTTGCGGGTTTTCACTAGTAACAAACGGCGGCAATGCCAGGACACTGCAAGACACACGGCGGACGTTGGATACTCAACAAAATGTTGTTCACAGGATCATAGCGTGATGCAATCGGATGCATGAAGGGCGACCAAAACGAGGCCCCCGTAACCAGACACACAGAGTAGTGGACAGAAATGCAACCCAAGACGACCTGAAAGTCAATCCGAAATGAGCCTGGAGACAGTTACATCGTGACTGTGAACCCATGATGACGCAATAACCCGAGCTATTGATCGATCGATATGCGATCGAGCTCGAGCTAACCTGGCAGGAACAACTCAGAAAAGACAAGGTGGTGCGACGCGCCAACATTCGAGTGGAGTGGTTAGAGATTATCCAACCGGACTCGTGCATCATTCTGTTGTGCATTTGGGAATGAACTGTGCGAAATGAAAAGTGTACGCAAGACTCGATTTCAAATTTAAGCAGCACAGTTTTCCATCGAAGTGCTTTCTCTATTACGATACTGGAAAGTATGCGACAGAAAGAGGATCTGAGTGGATGAGTAAACGCACAACATCCGTATATCGACAAACCAACTAGATACAGATACACTTGGTTTTATGTTGTTATATCTCAACCAATGGATAAAATCACAATTACGGTACTCATACCGACTGTGTGTGTGTGTGTGGGAGTAGACAGACAAAAGAAAAATTTTTCGTTCAAATATGCATCGGCTTGAGCATGATAGAAACGGCACAAAAACGTGACCTGATAGACCGAAACACATTTGGCAGAGTAAATGAAACAGTTCACATACCGAATTGAGCGTCGAATTGATGTCGGTCTGTATCCATTGTTCTCTGATCCACACGTTCGATGGTGCTTGATCGGGCGGGCCAAGTCTCAAAAACACAGTACAATGTCAAATTCCCGCCTTCTTCTACGTGAACCTCACGACGTTCGGCAAAACCACGCAAAAGTCTAGTCACGTTCTCCATAGGTGAATCTAATTGAGTGGGATGGAAAATGACCCAGGAATGAGAGATGGACAGGTGAGTACGAACATTTGTAGACAGGTACATCGGGGTAATAATTTCCATGACTCGTGCCTATATCAGCTCCTTATGGCTGGATGTGAAGTAGCGTCTCATTGGAAATGATCCAATAAAAGGTTAATTTAAGCATTCACTTACGAAACAAATCACTCAGCTATCTACTATGGGTTTCATACAACCGGTACGTAAGATTTCAAGTTTCGCACCAGTACTCACTGGCTTTCGATGTGGCCGGACACAGAATGAAAACGAAAGAGAAAGACAGACACAATTTTTGTGGAGTTCAGTTCTGTCTCGTTCTAGTTAATCATTACTCGTAGCCCGAGGTCGTCATCCTCTGATGAAAGCTATTAGAGTTCTTGGAAGGTTCCGAGTATCCTAAAGTGTCTGGGATTTGACGAATGACAAGAAGGAAGCAAACAAATGAACGAACGAAAGCCTGTGCGCGTGTGTTGCTTTCCAATCATTGAACAGTGAGCAACTATGTTTCATATTTCCAGTTTGCATACCTTTTACCGAGGTCACGAACCGACAGAACCTACCAATCTTAGGTCTACATAACTGCGCGTTGACGGAGTGAATTTGGTGGTGCGTGCGTGTGTGCGTAACACGTGTCTTCATCCAACCTCATCTGTGGAAGTTGAGCAATGATTTAATGTTGCCCTGGCGCTATTCACCCGGTTCAATCAGTAACAGTGAGGAATGACACCAACCAGAAACCAATGACCTCGGGGCATTCGTGAGATCCCGCAGCAGAAGCTAACTGAATCGACACCAGAGACAATCGACTTCTGCCGAACAATCCAATGTCGCGTCGATGACTGAGATTGGTAAACAAACAAACTAACAAGCTCGAGGTACATGTGTCGACAAGTCCTCCGGAATACAATCCACACAAATGAGGATGTGACTGATAATTTGCCTACTTGTTCCATCATTTCCAAGGATCACGAAAGGTTTGGAACAGATCTAATTCAATCCACTCCGAATGTTCACATGTGCTACAAAAATTCTATCAGAAGGTACACCGATTTGTTTCTTTCACACAATCCCTGACTTCCGGAGTTTTCATTTCCTGTCCGGCAATTTCAAGTACACGCTTGTTTTTCGGCAGAATTCTCATCAACTGCGCCAAATCAGCACTTATTCTCTCACTCTTCTTTAAGCCTGCGTGACAAGAAGATATCTCAGTCTGATGAACTGATCTGTTGAACAAAGAGAGAGAGAATCAAGAAAATGAAACGAATTTAAAAAGATACTCACTCATAAGCTTCAATTTATTTGAACGACTGTGAATCTGCCCAGGTTTGTTTCGTGATGGGATTGGTGGCCACGTACTGATACAGACCCTGATCGTTCATACCAAAACTACTGATCAAGAGGTCCACATAATCTCCGGAAGGTGATCTGACTAGTTGGTGTTTTCCTGAAAAGGGATAAAGATACACATACAAACAGAGAGAGAGAGAGCGGAATAACCGAATGAAACGAATAAAATCAACAGTCTTGAAACGTGCGCAAGTGTGTGCGTATTCATGTTTGCTCCGGCAATCGAAGCAGAGATTCTCATTGAATGGCCGATTGATTGATTATCCCATGTGATCGTGATAGTCAAAAGCCATGCATTATCTGGTGTAAATAAAGTATCATTCAC